TACAAATGATCAATCTATAAAGGGAAAAGTACAACAAAGTATTAGAATACTCATGTGTATCTTCTGTATTCTTTTTAAAGACTAGGCAAAAAAAGCCAATTTTATAAGCCTGCCTAATGTGTTGCCTTTTTCATGCAAATTCCTGTCATTTAAGTGTAATTTCTATTCAAATTTTTGTTAAAGCCTAATTGGTCTCCCAGTCAATCTTCCATGCATTTCGTCAGTGTAAGGTCTTCAGACCTGCTTTAGGCAGCCATTAGAAGCATATGCCTAAAAGTCTAAGATATTCGTATCGAAATCTGATTCAAAAATTAAAACAGAAGAGACAAAACTTTGACGTTGGTCTTCAGCATTTTCCTTTTTGATAAAATACAATTATTTCTAAATATGGTTCTATAAATTATCAAAAGTAAATTTGATGAACTGTTTTTCTTTAACGGCAAGACTGTAAATTTTATTTCAGAAATAAATCTACTGATTAAGGTCGCTAAAGTATAGGACCGGAACCTTGTATAGGTACAGTCATTATGAAATATCCAGTCATGAAAAAGAATTTTCTATGATAAAGTCTCTGAGTTCATTTTAATTCTCCAGAACTTAAAATATCCCAGCTATTCAGTTTTCCTTAAGTTTTTATCTTGCAATTATTTGGGAGAGGGTGAGGGATTATCCCAAATACTGTTCTCAACCTATCTCATTGAAATCTATGTAACTTCCAAGAGATTTTTTAACTTCAGCCCTATAAATCACTTTTGGTGAATATTTATGTAGTTTAATAATGGTAATGATTAAAAAAAGTATTTAACAACAATGATTATAACAGATGGAGAAATGACCTGAGTGGCATTATGTTAATGTGAACTGCAGAATATCCTTTAAGTAAGATAATAAAATCTGAGTCAAAAATGATGCAGACAAGAGAAGTAGATGACTTAAAATACTTTTGGCTCTGTAAAAATATGAAAAGTAATTTTCATTACATAGAAAGGAAGGAAGAAATGGGTCATTTACAGATTTGATTATTTAATTTGCAGTTACTTATATCCTGGGGATAGTTAATGAATAAATCAGCAGTGTAACAGGATATAAAAACATTTGTGTGATATCACCTATTGTACATATATTCATTATGATGACATTTGATATGACAGTTATTTCCTGTAATAGTATTTCAAGACTAAATAGTGAATATTTGAGCCCTGGTGGCGCAGTGGTTGGAATGCAGTATTGCAGGATAACTCTGCCCACAGCCTAGAGTTTGATCCTGATAGGGCTTAAGGTTGATTTAGTTCCATCCTTCAAAGGTCGATAAAATGAGGACCCAGATTGTTGGGAACAATATGTTGACATTGTAAAGCAGGGGTCCCCAACCCCAGTCCATGGACCAGCACTGGGTCATGACATGTCAGCAATCAGGTGGGTGAACAAGTAAAGCCCCATCCACAGGATGCAGGCAGCACATGAAACTACACACCCCCTCTGGTCCACAGGAAAACCTCTCTCCACCTCCTTTTGGGTCCCTGGTGCCCAAAAGGTTAGGGGCCACTGCTATAAAGCACTATGGAGTGGTAAATAAGTCTAAGTGCTATCTCTTTTCTATTGCTATATGTATTTTATTTATTGTAATTACTATGTTGTAAATAACCCTTAATTTTAAAGCAAAATTTATAAAAGCCCATTCAGTTCAATAAAATATATTTAATTTCTAAGAAAGGGCTGTAGAGCAGTGGTTCTCAACCTGTGGGTCGGGACCCCATTTGGGGTCGAACGACCATTTCACGGGGGTCGCCAAACAACACAGTCCGCCATTTTTCCCCCTTTTCCTTAGCTGTGCTACTCCCTTTTATTCTATTGGCTTTTGAAAGCCAATAGAATCGACTCTCTTGAATAGAGTCTAATTCTATTGGCTTTCAAAAGCCAATAGGAATTGTCCAGGCTGTCTCTGCCCTGCTGAGCCCGCCAAAAGTCCCATTCCGCAAACAATGCTGCACCAGTTGAGTAGTCCTCGACTTACAACCGGTTGAGTAGTCCTCGACTTATGACCGGTTGGGGGTCGCGGCATTAAAAAGGTTGAGAACCACTGCTATAGAGAGATATGCATATCCCTTTTTTTCATCTGGTGAGTGACCTTTGGATAGAGACAAAGTATTAGTAATACTAGTAGGTAGTGATAGTAAAGAGGAAGTCAATAAATACAGAGATGGTCCTGATGAATCTCTGGTGATATTGAAAGCTATAGAGAGTCATAGAGATGAACTTGAAGAAGCTATACAGTAACAGGTTATATTGTACACTACTCAGAGCCCCTTTTGAGAAAGATAGGCAGTTAAGAAATATCAAAGATAGATAGATAGATGGATAGATAGATAGATAGATAGATAGATAGATAAAAGAAAGAAAGAAAAAGAGATAGATAGATAGATAGATAGATAGATAGATAGATAGATAGATAGATAGATAGATAGATGGAAATGAAGAAAACATGAAAAAGAAGCTCAAACTGGTTCTACCTGAACTATTTGAGGTATAAAAGGGAGAAAGGGGAAAAAAACAGGTTTTAAATGTTCTGTTATCACAGCTTACATCATTATTTCCCAACCTTAACCACTTGAAGATGCATGGACTTCAATGCCCAGTGTTCATGGCATTGAAGTCCATGCATCTTCAAATGGCCAAGGATGAGAAATGCTAACTTTTGTCATCCCAGCTCCACAGTCAACGTTTCCTGACCTTGATTACCTCTAAGGGCTGAAAAAATCTTTACAGGTTTTCTTTTTTGCATCCAATTTAAAGGCTAAATTCTTGTTACAATTTACAGAACCTCCAGAATGTCTATGTTGTGAGTTCTAGGAGCAAATAATGGCAGAGAAATTCATGTTCTCAAATGAAAAACTAAGCTCTGGATATGAATCAGAGCTAAAATGTGTACAAAAGTCGCAATTGCTTTTTTTCAAGGAGACTTGTGTTCAGATTTGGAAGTTGAATATTCCAGAATATCTTTTCAAAGAAAATCTTAGGTCTTTCCTGCTGTACATCTAAATGGGGACTAAATTGTCCTCAGTCTTTGTCCGGATCCATCTGACATTACTAAAATATTTTAAAGAAATTGATGGCTTAAATCTTGTTTACTAATATCATTGGAAAGGAAAGAAAATCATGAAGCAAATGTGCTGCCCCATATTGTGCAGAGGGACTTAAATACTGTGAAATAGAAAAGATCTCTCACCAATTCTTATAACAGGCTACTAGCTGAGCTTTAAAACTGTCAGCACTCAAAAGTTTTTCCCTTGGTATCTTCCACTAAGAAAACTGATTATTTTCTATAATGGCTTTTTAGGCCAGGATTAAGGAAGGTATCCCCCAGTTTAGATTTCAAACTATATTATCACATTTCCACAAAATATCCAAGGAGCAGAATTTTTGTACATGTAGTCCAACATAGGCAGATGATTGACCACTTTATGGACCCTGAAGCAGGATGTGTACACTTTTTGGGGGGAAGGGCAAATGTATTCTCTTATACTAGTTTTCAAATGGGTATTCTTACTTTGTTGTTGTTGTTTTGTTTTTAATTAGAAAGACATTTTAGACTGTCAGACTTTCTAGGCCTTGTGCCGAGGTGAAGTTGTAAACTTAGCCTTGTATGGCTTTTAGTCAGATCCATGTTGTAACTTTAGATAGACCTCCAAATTTTAATTTTATTTAATTTACTTTGCTTTATATATTACTCTGAACCCTGATATATTAAATAGCTTACAACAAACTTAGCAATTAAAACTAGTTATATGATGGCTAATGACACTCAATCCGATCTGCCATATCTCGGGGATAGGATGGTCTTTACTCACCCTTGAATGACTTTCACAGCTCTTTGAAAGCTTGGAAAAAAGAGGTTAGTCCAAATATCCGAGGATCGGCAGTTTTAAAAGAGAGAATGGTTCCTTTATGCTTCACACAATGTATCACATATTTTACTACTGTTTTAAAATGAGGTTACAATACATTCACTACTATTGTTACTGCTTTTACTCTATACCAAATTGCAATGGAGAGAATTTTTCAAAAAATCGTAACCACAATGCAGTGTAGAAGTTCAGTAGTTTCTTTTTCTTTTTTTTTCTTTAGGTAAATGTATATTTCTAGTTACTGGTAATTGAACACAATGAAATTATATGTACAATATTGTACATTTCTTATTCTATCCATGATATAGTAGCTATTGCATGGTTGGAAACTGAGTTCTAAACAGAAGCTGGGAGCAGGGAATAGTAGATTATTGCTTTATCTAGTCAACTCTGTTGAAGATTGAGAAATGCCATTTTTTCATAGGTATTATGAAATGTAATATGACTTTTTTTAGGTAATAGTAAGTATGTAGTCTTAATGTTCCATTTTTAGATTATTATTTTTAGAGTTCTTGGTACAGTGAAAATGCCTGGTGGAATCCATTTTTCAGTTACGGATGTATTTTAACAAAATGATCTAGCTAAAGTTAAACATTTCAAAGGGATTCAGTGGTTTCAACAGAAAAGTCAGATATAATAGGATGCCACGTGTCCACTGCTTCCACTGACAAAACCATTCTTGTGTCACATATTCAGCACATATTCACAGACCATTATAACTGAGCAAATTAAAAGTTACATTGATCAGAATGAATTTTCCTAAGGATTTTATAAGAGACTGGCTTCAGGGGATCTGAACTGGATTGTTTGTCTGAATGTACATTTCCCCATTCTTTAGGGAAAGTTCTTTCTTATAGCGTGAAAGCATTTTCACAAACAGCATGACTGGTATTTCACAGAGAAAGGTCACCTTGACTTCCTGTAATCCCACTATCATACATTGAACTAATGTAGAAATATTTCTCATATTAGCTCCTTTTCTCATTATTACCTTGGTGTTTTCTTTTAATTAAACAGCTAAAGTGGCTTAACTATATTATAATCATTATATAATGATGGCTTCTTCTATTCTGTTCTTGTTCCCTCCACCCCCAGCTTCCTCAGGCTCAAAAGGTAAACTATTTTCAGTCAATAATTGAAGAAATCACCAACTCCTCACGCTTCTACAGTATCATCATGAAATTACTTTACAATGATGATCAGTGAAATGCTTAACAATGTCACCACTAATGAACTGGAGAGCATGACATTATTTAAATTAGAGCAGGATTCTATGTATAGGCTTATCACCCACTGAGTTACAATTGAGACACAACATGAGAGTAATTAAACCAAATGGAGATAGGGTGGACTACTGCTTTGTGTAAATAAAGGATGCATTTTGTTTTGATTTAGAAAAAAATGGGTAGCCTTAATCATTACAGAGAAGTCATTCAAAGGTATTTATTCTAGAGAAACAATTGAACTCATGACACAGCTATATTATTTCACTGGTCCCCATTGTATTGTCTTCTCAACAGCCTCTGAGTGCATCTAACATACATTTTGTGCAGAAAAGTTTCCATGCAATGTGTTGGTATTATTAGTGTACAGCTTCTGCTTTGATATGGTCTGTTCCAGAGCTATCTCATAGCATTTCATGATCTCACAAATAATAATGGCGGCTGCTACAACATATCACTTGATGCCCATTGCAATTTTATGTGTAATTTACAAATGTAACTGAGTTAAAAGTATAATAACAATGCCTCAAAGTGGAATGCCATCATATAATTAGGGAACCATTTTTAGCTCTCAAGGATCTCCAGTAATACGGTAATACAGTAATCTCTATTTTTAAACTTATTCCTGAAAGATATGATTTCAGTTGTTAGAGTCTGAAGGCCTTTCAGTCTATTTGCCCAGTTTGATTTCTTTTTTTTCTCTATTTTTGAACTAAATCCTCCCACCCCACCCATTCTTCTCTCCTGATCTTGCAATCTCTTTTCCATGAATGTGGACAATAAAACACACACACTGTCTGGATGGATAGATTTGGCAATAACATTTTCTATGTTTAACCTAGAAAGAAGCAAGAATGGTTTTATCTGGGTATTATTATTTCCTTAAAGCATTTATAGTAGGGAAGAGTCTTGATTTGATGGGGATTGTGTTTAATAAAGTTTAATATTTTCTTTACTGGCTATATTTCTTACAAATAGTTTCTGACTATTCTTCTCATTGTATAAAAAAGAAAATTTCTACTTTTTTACTGAGGAAATAGCCATGGCTGAGGAAATTTTAATGAAAAAATCCTATGTTATAGAGAATTATTCAGCATCTTATACTTTTTTTAAAAAAAATCACAGTCTCTTGAAAATTTTAATCGCCTTTTAAGCGAGCCTCATTCACAGTGATTTACTATGAAACTGAATAGTGACAAAGCAAAAGTTTGCTAAATATTCTCTTTCATGTTGCAAGTAAGATGTCTTTCATGGTCACAATTTTGAAATAGCTATGGTGGTAGACTTGAAAAGTTAGATACAACATTGTCCATTGTAATATTTGCACAAGAGTTTTATAGTTTTTAAGCATACTATCACAGGTTCAGGAATTCTGGCTTAGAATTCTAAAACTAAAGAGATACATCCATTTTCTACTTGAATCCCTTATGTTCAGTTTCTTAATGACCCAGCTAAATGCCAGGATCGCCACTCGAAAATCTGAAATAAGTTTTAAACAGGTATATGAACTCTTTTTCAAAATATTAGGAAAATATAACTATGCCTTCATTTTGAGAAATGATCTCCAAGTCACTTAATAGTATTTGTAGGTAGGGATATTCCTTACTTTTGATAAGAAAATAAAGGGCAGTATGAAAAATGAAATAAATTATATGTTTGACTGTAAACAGCAGCATAGGCTTCCTTGCAATATTACAAAATGTTAAGGTTTAACACATTTTCCTCATCAGTCAGATTTATTTTCTTGGACTTGGTACAGCCTTTACACTTTTAAAGAATTTTCTTCAATTACTTTCCATATTAATTTTTTGTTTTTGCAGCAGTCTGTCATGGTTCCGACAGATGAAACTCTTCAAAAGAACTTCGAGGCATTGTTTACCTTAAAGAATCTTTTATTTGAGAAACAAAGTATCGGCACTACATAGTTAAAGCCAAAAACTGAATTCCCCTCCCCGTAGCACAAAGTAGTAAAGCACAATTCCTTCCTCCAATTAACAGTCATAAATCACATTCCCCAATTAATTTGAAGCACAGGCTTTCTCCCCAGCTCTCCAGCCCGCCAAATCTTTATCAACTCTGGGTGCAATAATCTTAGATTTCACGGCTGAGTTATTATTGTTATAACTAGCTGGACTCTCATCCACATTCCCCCTCCCAGCATCAAGAAACTCTGAAAGCGATAGAGAAAAGATGGCTACATTTCCATCTGTTGTCAAAGCAAGAACATCCAATGTTAGCAGCGTTGACATGGTCATTTTTAATTTTTAGCACATTCTTTGGGCTTAAAATATAATATTGATTCCAATCATTCCTAAGCTAGCTGCCACTCTTCCCTATGCTGTAGTCAAGAGCAGGTACTAATGAGTTTCAGCTCCCCACAACTCTCATCCAAGCCATTGGTAGAAGAGTTAATGGAACCATATTTAAAGGGTCCAAGGCTTCCTTTTCTGCATTAACTAAACAAACAAAATGATTTGTTAGTATTAATGTATGCATATTTTTCAAAGCACTAATATTTCCTCAGTGCATTAGCAAAAATATATTTCTTAATTAAGAATATACTTCTAGGCATAACACTTAGAATTGCATCTAACCTCCATGTCTTTTACAGTACTTCCTAAAAAATGTCCATGCTGAATATATCTCTGACAGTGGAGCCATTTAATGCAAGATTCCTACAAATATTCTTTGTGCAATATAAAAACCTACTAGGACTAATCAAATACTGTACTTATGAAATATACACTTAGTGTGGGCATGGGGAACAGCTTCTTTGGATCTTGGAGTTACAAGACAATCCTCAGAAAGAAAGATTTGATTGAACTACATTATCACCATCAGATCTATTATCAAGCAAAAGTAACTGCTGGTTAGCTGAGATGAACATGATACAAAACCATGAGTGGAAATGGTTAGTTGGATAAGACTGCATTTTCTTCATTTTTAATCTTACAAATATAACATTCAGATTTTTGCCCAACCAAGTGGAGAAGCTTTCAAATCCATCTGGCATTTTGAAGAAGTTCACTGCACAGGTTGATGCATTATTTATGAATGACTGAGTCAACACAAGTGTATGTTTTCCCATATGGTGGCTGAATATGTGCTATATTTTGTTTGAATCTGTATAGCAGTGTTTCTCAATCTTGGCAACTATGTGGACTTCAGCTCCCAGAATTCCCCAGCCAGCCATGCTGTGATTCTCTTTGCATATAAATAGTCATTATTGCAACAAGCAGTATTCTTTCTCTATTACTATTAGCCATAGTCTCTGAAAATATCAGCCTTACAGTTAAAGAGAATGGTGTTTTAAATAACTTATATTTTCTGACCTTTAATTGCTGCATATTCATTCTGAAGAATATATTTAAATTTGCCAAATTGAACTTTTCTTGTGGTTACATATATATATAACATGCAATGATGAAATATTAGTGCTTCTCAGAGGAAAGCAAGGCAAATTAGAAATACTGTATGATAAATTCAAATATAAAACCTGCAGCAAAAATAACTTTAAAGCTATGAAAATACTGAAAATGAGCAATGTACAAATCACCCAAGATCTGATTTTAATTAGTGAATTGATTTAAAGGGTTGATTCAATTTGAAGAGCGATGTCTATAGTATTTGATTTGAATTAATAGTAAGAAAAATATGTGTGTACATGTGCAAAAGTCCATTAAATCTTCTAATGGGTTCCAAGCCAGCTGATTTGATGTAATGCATCCAACTGATTCAGCTGTTTGATCTAAAGGTTTGATCCAAAGCAGCAATTCAGTCCCTTTGCCTTTGAACAATTTTTCACAATCCTACTAAAATGATTTCTAATTTTTTCAGTTTACAGTTTTTATTAGTAATATAATATAAAATACAAAAATACAAAAGCAAATAATAGGAAAAATAATAGAGGAAAAGAGGAAAAGAGAAGTGTAGGGGGGAAAAAAGGTGTTGACTTCTGGCTCTCTCTGGTTCAGAAGAATAAAACAGTTACATCAAACCGCAACTTTTTACTTTTACATAATAGTATAAACTAGCCATTTCTATAACAAGAGATCCATCTAATCCACACCGAAACCGTGCCCACCCCATTGCTGGCAATGGGGAAAAAATCGTGATACGTCATGTGATGTCACATGACGTCATGAGTTTGACATGCCTGATCTAATCAGTAAAGCCCAAAATCAAAGTTTCATTTTTTTCCATCTCAAGCACAAAGTCCACAAGCGGGTTTCCAAATAGAAATAAAAGTACTTATGTTTTTTTTTCTTTGATCAAAGCAGTAAATTTAGCAATCTCTGCCTATCCATCAACTTTTGCAGCCATTCATTCATTGTGGGGATCGAAATGTCCTTCCATTTTTGTGCATAAAGTAGTCTTGCTGCCATCAACATATATAACATGAAAGTTCCAAATTTTTTTCCCAAGTCTGTACTTTTTTCTTTTCTTTTTTGCGTGGCACTCAGTTTCTAGCCTGCCCTCATCAAAGATATTTATTGGTACCTATTCTAGGATCCTTTATGCCTCAGATTAACTTAAATGGGGACAGTCTACTGCAGATGGAATCATAATCAAAATGGTCAGCATTTCTGAGGCCACCTCCTTCTTTTGTTTGCTTGTTTGTTGCAAGGCCACCTGGACATTACATCCTTGAGTTTAAAGTACAGGCTGATAAATATGGAAGGAGACATCTAACCTGCCTCCAAGTCATGCTCTGTAGATTAAAAACTTGCATTTTAAATAAAATTCATTTGGAAACAGACAAACTGCTAGTGCAGATGACAAATATATATATAAAATGTAATTAAAACAGACATCTAGCAACCATATTGTGGACTCAATGGGATTTTTAAAGGCAGAACCACATATACCGAGACATGGCATGGCAGTTAT